CGCGAGCCGGAGTAATGGAATATCATCCGAGCCCTACTCTGTGAAGAAAGAGTCGTCCTTTCCTGTAGTCGACTGTAGTCAAATACCAGGGAAACCCTGGATGACCTTTGTGATCAAGGACAATGCCAGTGCATATTTGTTTGCAAAAAGTATTTTGGCAGGCCACAAAAGGTCAGACTTTGACAAAAATGCAAAATTTCTTTAATCTAAAAGGAATACCAAATTTAAGCAACCAATGAGCACTTCGCACTTCGTTACGAGTGCACAACTGAGAGTCATTTGTTGTTTCAGTGAGCGGGGTTTACCTTTCTCTTTTATGCGGTGTATTTTTTTACGGAGCTCGGCTGTTGGAATGTATTCCAACTAAATGCCCGTGTGTTATTTACAGTACCTTTGAAGCTCACTGTGCTTTGTTTTCATTTTATGCAAGTCCGCTTTATTTGTTCTGCTTTTTTTTTTCTTCATTTTCTTTTTTGTGCGCCGCGCAGAACAGTGAGGGCAGTGGCAAACACGTCGGGTGGCCCCGGCCCTTGCCTCGCCAGGCCTCGCCGCCCGACGTATTCAAGAGTTTATATGTTCGATTTGGCGTGTTGCCATCCACAGAACGCCACACCACACACTCGCTGGCCGTACAGCATCGAGTACCGAGGAGGGCGCAGAGAGCGAGAGAGAGAATGGAGGGGAGAGGGGGTGGAGGTCACCTCCCCCAGCTTCAAAGAAAGCAAATTCTGGCCGAATTCAGCGAGGAAATTGATCGAAAAGGGGCATGCCATCGGTACATAACAGGCGGGGGCCCGGGCCGCGGCGGGCGGGCGGGGCAAGGAGCCCGCCAGCACAATGGGCCTGACTGATGGCCTTAATTAAAGAGCGTTTTCCACCAAGGAACGGGAAAGAGAAAGGCCCAGGCTGTGCCGGTCTGGAGGGGGGCAAGGGGTGTCACTGAAAAGGGTTGCGATGAAGGGCCCCGGCCACCCCCGGCCGCCCCCGGCGCGGCCCTGTGCGCGCAGCAACACCCCCCGACAAAAGCTTTCGCGAGCCCTCGATTATGAGCACGCCCCTC